CCAATTTGTCCGGATGGTGTCGCTGCTGTGATATGGTGCATGTGTTATTGTGCGTAATGTACTTGTATGCTCATTCCATGTTGCCAGGGATAACGGTTTATGGGAAATGCACGAGCAGTAACGGTACATTGAACCTACATGTAAGAGTATTATCACATTCAATCTCGTCACATTATCAGTGATGGAGTCGTACGGCTCCCTGCTATGAAGCAAGGCTTTCATACACTCTCTCTCTCTCTCTCTCTCAACATGACTGTACCAAATGTTTTACTCAATCTCTGGAAAGCTAAGCTACAAGTACCGGTAGTAAAAATGTAAATAGCTGTTGCGGCCTCACTAAATCATGTTAGACAAACACTTGAACCCATTACTGTAACTTTGAAAGTGTATAAAGTCGTGAAGGAAAGAGTAAAATTATTTTTATCCCTGTATGTTGCCATGGCATCGTTGTTCGCTGTGCTTGGAAACGAGGCGCAAAGCTAGGTTCCCTTCCTCTGCTCGAGATTTTTGACTTGATGTTTGTTGCCGTTCGACATTGTGGACCGGCGCGACCGTTACCGGTGTGTGCATATGATCTGAGTGCATTCAAACTATGTAACTATTACTTACTTCAGTCTTCACTCATTTTTCCTGACAGTGACACCCGTGTTGTGTTTGTTCCACTGCTTCGCATCGTAGCAGCTGAGAACGGGAGAGACCTTGTTTGATTGATCGCGAGCGCTGGAAAAGAAGTACTGTGACGCCTGCTGCACCATCCTGATCATCTACAGCAATCATGTCGGATAGCGACGTTGAGCCTCCCTCGCCAGATCCAGACGTTGACGACGACGAGGACAACGAGCATGACGACGAGGGAGACGCAGGGGTGGGTACCGCAATGAACAATGCAAACTATAGCTGCTTGCGTCTTGCAGCCTCACTATGCCTCAATACATATGCCTATGCCTATGGTCACTCGCCGCGGTGTCCTTCCGTAGAAGAAACAAACAGACGAAATTTGCGTTTGACTGATGTCGTGAGCGTATAATAGCGTCGGGGTGCGAGAGAGAGACACGTCATGCCTATGCAGTGTGCTGTGCTGTTTCAGCAAATGGGGGTGGAGGCTAGAGGTAGTGGCCGGTATGCAACCATCACAACTGAGCAATACAACCCTAACCCTAACAGGGCCCCGGCTTCTGAAGGTAATTTATTTAGGGTGGTAAGGTCAGCCATCTGAGGTACAATTTACTTGTTGGGAAGGGTGGCTATGCTGAAATGTTTCCAAAATGAGAGTCAAAATCAGTGCTTTTGATTGATTCAACGGGGTATCTGGGGGCAAAAGTGGTACGGTCAATACCGTAGTGACCGTAGCGTGTCCGACGCCCCTGTACACTGAT